GTGTAAATAGATACGTATAGGTCGCAAGCTAAAGTATAGTAAAACAACAAGTTTTATGACAAGAGTAATGATAAGAAGGCAAGTGAGAAGGTGACGAAAATGGATAAGTCCTCGGGACTAAGCCTGTGAAAACAAAGGAGCTGATGGTTCCTCTAAGTTATAGAAAGCTCAATTTAGCCTAAATAAACTCAAAGGAGTCTAAGACTAGTAGCATTTAAAAGAGATGGGATGCTGCCCTGGTAGTAGAATGAGGGTGTAACTGTGATAGATGAAGGATGGTGTTTGGGCATTCAATTGAGTAATGATTTCATGAATTGTACAAGATCAAAATACTCACGTAAGGTAAATCACATTGGGATGCTTTGAAATATGATTATGGAAGTATAGTATCGTATCGCCCCCAGGTGGATCAAGACAATGACTTCAAATGTTCCCTGATGAGACGTGAGCCCTAACAACAGTGTTACATAAGAGATCAAGTTATCAGTGACAGATGATACATCAACATTAAGGTGAATCGATAATGGATGGACAAAAGTCACAAAGTATGATGTGAGATTAAGCCGTCATTCTTAAGATGAATAGTAATAAAGAAGCATTAAAGGACATAGATTTATACATATAGGCTAAGGAATGAGAGTAACCTGGAGTTGGTTGCAAACCATAGTAACGATAAATAGAAGTATGAGTTATAGTATAGTATGACCAACCTAGATGCAGTAAAGTCATATGAATGGATAAACGAATCTATGAAATAAGGTAGAACAATATTCGTAAGTTCAACAAAGTACTGAGCGAAGAACTTTAGTACACTTATAGATGCCCAGAGAGGCATCCTATTAAGCGTTGTATATGTTTACAAAGTAAGGCCTAGCGATTGGCTAAAAGTTGGAGGAAAAATGAGAGACGATTCGCATAGGCACACTTACAAGGTCAAAGTCGTAGAGGCTGCATGATCGAAGGTAGCAACAATTACGAGATTGGAAGGATTTCGACTATAAGTTGTGGTGTAAGAAAGAGGCCTAAAGGGGGGAATTCCCTGGCCTTTGGATTTATTCACAAAACAACTGCCTAAATGGCAAGGGGAGTATTAAGGTATTCACAAGAGCTATAAGTTATGAAAATGATAAGACCATCAGTCAACATTCAAGGACGAATGTTCCAAAAGGGAAATGACGTTATGCCCCGCAATATTACGTTGATATTACGTCCCACAATATTATATTACGATGATGTTATGTCGTGCAGTAGTATATTACGATGATGTTATGCCCTGCAGTATTATATTACGATGATGTTACGCCTTGCAGTATTACATTACGATGATGTTACGCTTCGCAGTATTAAATTACGACGATGTTGCACCCTGTAGTATTGTACGTTGAATTTGTCATAAGGTAATTGACATCAGCCCAAGAAAAAGATTATTTGGAGATTATAAGGATTATGCTATTTCAAACAAGTGATGGGTAAATTTGTGAAGGTGAGAGGGGAATCAAGTCAAAGGCTCTAACGTATTGCTTCAGTAACAACCTTGAAAGGTTGTGATCAAATTAACAAAGTGAGCATATGAAATTTTCTACAAAAATTCGTATGAGATTTCACGAGGTAATATCAATGGGATTTTGAGATTCCAAGGGAATATAGTGCAATCTTTCTCAAGAATATCATACAGATTTTTCGCTACTATGATCTTGTCATTACGTGTTTGTCAAAATTAACATGTGTTAGAGGAATTGTGAAGAGAATCGACTCAGGTATGTTAAGGCTATCCCTTCTTTCTTTTTAGCATGATCCATACGATATGAACAAAACAAGCAAATGCACAATTTCCATAAATGACTCTATTCATAGAAATATTAGAGATACTTATGTTCTTGATTCCCCATGTGTCATTATATCCTCTCATCTGCTCATGGGTCTTAGAAAATACATAAATGATAAAGTTTACTGTAAGGTATTATTTAAAGGCAAAATGATCTTATGACACTCCGAAAGATTTTATTGGCGTACTTCTCATGCATTGCATTCATGTACATTGACCCATAAACAAATGACGTTATATACGCGTATATATGTATATTATATGTATATGGGATATGGAAAAAGGTTACGGCGTTATATACACACCACCACCTGATTAGTTGGTATACGTTGATGAATTGCCCGCAGTGGCTGAGATAATATGATGGGATGCCCTCAGATGCTTGATGATATTATGAATGCATATACCCATGCATGGTATGACTTTTATATGCATATGCATGACATTATAAAAATGAAATGATTCACATAGCTATGCAAAAGTATATGTCAAGTATTTTACTCCATGTTTTTCTCATGTCTATTATTTACTGATTTTCATTCCTTACATACTCGGTACATTATTTGTACTGACGTTCCTTTTGCCTGAGGACGCTGCGTTTAATAATCGCAGGTCCCGATAGACAATTCGAGAGCCCTCCAAGTAGGCTATCAGCTTAGCGGAAGATGTTGGTGAGCTCTATTTGCTTCGGAGTTGCTTGTTTGGTTAGTATAATTTAGATGTGTATTGTTTGGTATGGCAGGATTCTATCCCAACCTTTATGAAAATTATGTATTCTTAGAGGCTTATAGACAAATGTCATGTACGTAAAAGATTGTATGGCCTTGTCGGCCTATGTTTAGTGTACGAGTGGTTGTTTTGGCCTTATAGGCCCGTATGTCATATATATAAGTTGGAATCACATATTGTATTCTACTTATCTCACAACAGCCTTCCGACTCAGTTATCTACGATAGTATGACATGAAAAATATGTTATATTGGTACTCGATTGAGTAAGGTACCGGGTGCCCGTCGCAGCCCATCAGTTTGGGTTGTGACACATTCGAAGCTTTTTGGCTTCCGTTTTGTCCGATGGGAGTACTCCCTCCAGTAAGTATGTTATAATACGATTGCGCCAGTCCCAAGTCAAATTTACAGAGTGTACCTCAAGTTGGTCTATTGACGAGTGGAGGGGGGTGACCACGTTTTCTTTTGTAATATTTTTGGTAGCCGCTACTAATTTGGCAAGCCTGTCTGCCTCGATGTTTTGTGCTCGAGGTATCTGGTCGAGTCGACATTCATTGAATTTTGGCAACAGTTTATGAAGTTCTGCCTCGTAGTTTTGTAGCCTCTGCTATTTGATTTGGAAAGCCCCTATGACTTGGTTGACAACTAGTTGGGATTCGCATCCGAGGATGACTCATCGTGCTCCATATTTGAGAGCTAGCTTTAGTTCTGCAATTATGGCCTCATACTCAGCCTCATTGTTAGTCATATCAGGGTACCATATGGATTGGCGGATAGCTTCGCCTGTTGGGACCTCGAGTACAAGTCCCAGTCTAGATCCTGACGCGTTGGATGAGCCATCAGTGTATAGGACCCATAGGTCGGGTAGCCCGAGAGGGGTACGAGAAGTGTCCTGCTCAACCTCGGGCATTATTTTGGCACTGAAATCGGTGAAGAAGTCGGTGAGTACCTGCAATTTATCACTGTTCACGACTGATATGTTATATCGTGCTCGCCCAATTCTATGGCCCACTTGGCCAATCTTCCCGACAATTCGGGTTTATGTAGGATGCTTCGTAGGGGGAATGTCATTACCACTGATATGGGATGACATTGAAAATAGGGTCTAAGATTTCGTGAAGCTATAACCAATGCCAAAGCCAGGTGGTTTTACCTCATTTTGGCGTCGACCAGGGTTTTGCTAATGTAATAAATTGGAGATTGTGTACCTTTGTTTTCACGGACTAACACTACGCTTACCGCAACCTCTAAGACGGTCAAGTATATTAGAAGGCATTCGCCAGGTTCTGCTTTGGCAAGTAGTGGGGTGAAGACAAGTATGCCTTTAGTTCTCTTAAGACATCAAAGCATTCTGAATTCCACTGGAGTCCATTGTCTTTTTTCAGCACGTTGAAGAATTTTTGGCACCTGTCGGATGACCGTGAGATGAACCTTGACAGGGCGGCTATGCGGCCAATTAGTTTTTACACATGTTTCTTGCTGGTTAATACTTCAAGTATCCCTTCAATGGCTTTGATTTGATCAGGGTTGACTTCGATGCCTTTTTGTGACACCAAGAAGCCGAGGAATTTGCCCGAGGTTATGCCGAAGGCACATTTTTCGGGGTTCAATTTCATGTTGTACTGCCTTAATATACTGAAGGCCTCTTTCAAGTGGTCGATGTGGTCTTCTTTCCTTTTAATTTGACCAACATGTCGTCGATATAAACTTCCATTGTTTTGCCAAGTTGATCCTTGAACATCTTGGTGACCAACCTTTGATACGTTGCCCCTGCATTCTTTAACCTGAATGGCATGACTCTGTAACAGTACGTTCCCTGATGGGTGATGAAAGTAGTATTTTCCTAGTCCTCCTCCTCAATGAGGATTTGGTTGTAACCTGAGTAGGCGTCCAAGAAGCTTAACAATTCATGCCCCGTTGTTGCGTCGATGAGCTTATCGATGTGAGTCAATGAAAATGAGTCTTTTGGGCAGGCCTTATTTAGGTCTGTGATACCCACACACATCCACCACCACGTTTTTCTTTTTTGCCATGGCCACATTGGCGACCCATTGGGGGTATTTTGATTCCCGGATGGAATCATTAGTAAGTAACTTGTCCACCTCATCACTAACGGCCTCATTGATTACGACATTGAATTTTTTTTTGCCGCACTGGGGTGGGGGGGTAAAGTGGGTCGACGTTCAATTTGTGTGTGGCAATGTCTTTCGGGATACCTGGCATATCTGCATGGAGAAGGTGGATAAATCGGCATTGCCAATTAAGAATTTATGAAATTTACCTAGTTTTGAGAGTTTATACCCGATGTAAGCCTTTTTTCTGTTGTCGCTGCTGCCCAATTGTACGGGATCGAGGTCTTCTACCTTTGATCCTACGGCTTCCATGATGTCGGGGTCCCTGATGACATATGTTTGTGCATCGAGTCTGGTCCCCGACTTTGGTAATTGCTACGCTTCTGAGTCTGTTCCCTTTAGCTGTTGAGTGTACATGCAATCCTGAGCGATTCGATAACATTCTTGGGCAGTGCGTTGTTCGCCTAGGATGCTAAATATCCCCCATGGAGTAGGGAACTGGATTACTTGATACAAGCTTGACCGGATGGCTCTCATGGCATGTATCCATGGCCTCCCTATGATGGCATTGTAAGCTGTGTCCTGGTTCATGACATGGAACGTTGTTTCTAGGATGACTCCCCCAGCCAGAACGAGTAGCATTATCTCCCCTGAGGTTCGCTTAACTACATTGTTAAAACCTGTTAGTATTATGCAACGTGGTACTATCTTGTCTTCGAGTCTCATTTGTATGAGAACTCGATGGTGGATAATACAAGCGCCACTTCCGTTGTCTATCAATATTCTTTTCACATCAGTATCTGAAATACGTAAAGTAATAACAAGAGCATTGAAATAAGGGAAAGTCAAACCGTCGGTATCTGACTTATCGAAGATGATACTATCTCTGAGGTCGTCATACGTTCGTGGGTGATCGATTGCTTTAGTTTGTGTGTGGTGGTGAACTTCACGTGGTTCATCACCTCCGCTGATGATCATTTGGATGGTGTGGACGGGGGAGGGTGGCTTTAGAGGGCCATGGTGTTGTTCATGTCCGGGACCTAAGTTGACTCGTCCACGGTCGTTCATCAACTCCCTCAGGTGCCCTTGGTTTAGCATGTTTACTACATCTTGCCGTAGGGCTATGTAGTCCTCGGTTTTGTGACCCCACTCCTGGTGAAATTCACAGAGGACGTTCGACTTTCGGGTATTTGGGTCGGACTTCATTTTTTGTGGCCACTTCACCTTTGTGCCAAGATTTTCTAGTGTGTACACTATTTCTGAAGGGGAAACACAAATTGTGAGCAGATAAGAGTGGAAACATACCTTTTTTATTTCGTTAAGTCCTTGTATGTGGCCTAGACGGCCCTTCCGCATGTCAAGAAGACGGTGGGATGGCTGTTCTGACGTAGGGTTGATGCCTTTCTCGGTTGAGGCGGGGACTGTAAGCACGTGATTTTTGCCCAATATGAGAATTACTCCCAAAAAATCCAAAAATAAAATGATTTTTCTTTGGTGTGCAATTTTGTGATATTTTGTGATATTTTGAATAATTATTTGTATTTGTCTGTGCATGTTTATTTGTTAAATTAATAAAAATGCAAAAATATGTCGCATTTTGCATGTAGGATTTAATTCTACAATTGTTAGTAATTAAATTTGTTTTACAAAAATATAAAAATTACAAAAATAGGCATCGTTTGCATTTTTAGCATTTAATGTCCAAATATACAATTTTATGCTTAATTATTACTTAATTGTGCGTTAATTGTTATTGGGAGTTAATTTGCGCTTTTATAACTTAATTTAGTTCTTAATAATAATTTAAGTATTTTT